TACATCACAGGGAATCATAACTGGGAGAAAGGAAACTTTTACAGCCATTGATGGGCGATCAACTCCTACAGGATTAGAATCAGCTTCGACGGTAAGCCATGAATGCAAATTACCCTTTACACCAGACAGCAGCACAGCTGCTGCTGTACATGTGTGATACATGCAAACTGTCTTTTCAGAATTGACCTTCTTTCATATTTTGTTTACCAGCGATCAGTTAGGGAATCTTGTGAAAGAATTGGATCATTTTTACATGATATCTGTAAGGCAGATGAAGAGAATGGAAGGTATATGAATTGATAATTATTTCATTGTGTAATTGATAATTATGTTATTATGTAAACTAATGTGTTTTACAAGGATTTTCATCCTTGAGAAAAGCTGTAACTGCACACCTGTAAAATAAAAATAACTTTTTGCATGTGTTTGATATTGCCATTCAGCTGCTGGTGGATCACTCTATCAGGTTGATGAATGATTGGCAAAGCAGTCACCATTCTCAATTTTCTGCCATTAAAGGCCTATAATAATAATAATAGGCTTTATTTAGAGAGGGTAAAAACACTTAACAGTAGCCCTAAGACACTGATGACTCTGTGGCCCTCAAAAACAATCATAAAATATAGATGCTACAACTAATAACTATAAATTAAAAAGATAAAATATAATAAATAATTCATATATACAAAATTACAGTCTAAGGCGCATTGCAGCCTTTTGTTCAGCTAGAAAGGATTTAAAAACGTTGTGCTTAAAACTTGCTAGCGAGCCATTATTTCTTATTTCTTAAACTGCACGAGGTGTCATTTGTTAATGTTTTTGTCAACCTTTATTTTTATTGGTGACAAATTTATAATAAAAAATTTGGCTGAATTTGAATGAAGTTAAGCTTGAAGCACTGATTGACAATATGCAACAAATTATCTTTTTCTTGGATTATCATTATATAAAGGGTTGAGGATGCAAGTCAGAGAGAGATAAAAGATCAATTATGGACTGGAGTAGAGGTTTGTTTAGCGTCAGTTTACTTGAAACGTTTCCTTTTGCTTTGATTGTAACTTTTTTTTAAAGTCGTTGCCGTGTTTTTCTTGAACGCATAAGTAGAGGTTCTGTTAGGTAAACGGATTTTTGGGAACCTGAGATGGAGCAACTTCGGCTTGTCTATGTATCTAGACTCAAATGACATGTACCAGTAGCATTGCTACTTAGGAGCCACATCAAGATGTCACCTCCATGCATGCTACGGGCACCTCTCCATAATAGTGACCTATTGGATTGAAGGACTGTGAGAGCATGATGTCGTGCCCACTTTAATGATTACCTCAAGTAGGATTTGAACCAGATAATCGGAGTTCAGATTTCAGTCATGTGGCCAAAAGGAAGCGATATCTTTCACTGTAATACGAATTTCATTGAGCTCTGTTCTTTATAATTTTGTTTTGTTTTGTTTTCTCCCTTTATTTTTAATTATTGACTTAGAATGCCTTGTCTCAACACATGGCAAAAGATGTTCTTACATCTTTGTGTCGAGTAGCCCAGGACTCTGCAGTCAGCCTGCGGGAATTGTCTGTGAGAATTGATCTAAAGAAAGATGCTCAAGAACTCAAGTAGGTTTCGTTTCTGTTGAGAGTTCAGAACAATATCCTGTTACGAAACACATTGTAAATAAGCGATTTTTTTCTTGTGCGTTGAGACGAACGGAGGTAAGCGCTTGTCATGCGCAAGGAGAGGAGAGCGAAAAAAATGTTACCCCTCCCCTCGCGCATGACTCGCGCTTAGCGCTCGTCTCGCACTCGTGTCCTGTTTGGAAGGCTAAATGTACATTAAAGTGGGGGGAAATAGAGCTCTGATTGCCTCTGGTTTTTGCTTATCACCTATAAACCTAAACAATATTAACAATCTGTTGTAAAGTAAGGTTAAAGATAATTGTTAGGACTTTGGTTTCCCTATGCTCTCTGAGCGAATACCGCTGTCTTCAGCTGTCTAGCATGAAAGCCCCCTTAGAGTGCTGGTCCTCCTTCTGCATAGGATATTAACTAATTGAAGGCAAACCGCCCCCCGGACAATTTGTCAATTTTCTTTGCCACTTACCTCGAAGGTCGGATAACGCTATCCACCAGAAAAATCTCTATCCGGTGGATAACGCTATACGTTTTGCTCTCACTTACCCGTTGAATAGCGATTTATCTGTTGGATAGCGTTATCCGCCCTTGATACAACTGAGCCCTGGTTGAAGATAAGTGTGGAAAGAGGCATTGTGAGAGCTATGTATCCTTTTCAAGAATATAATACTGTAAACATGACCAGTCTTAGAGCATTGAGTTGACCTCTTTATCCTGAGTCCACCGCGTTACTTATTTACTAACCATCACCTAACCAGCACTGTTTTGTTGTGAAAGCTTGGCTTGAAATTTTTCTTTTTCAGGTTTAAATATGAAAACTGTGGCAAACTTACAGACACTTCATCGCCACCTTCTTTGCTTCAAAGTGTTCACCAATTAATAGAGGTTAGTAATAGTTGAAATTGTTCCTTCTTTTTGTATAATTTGTACACTGTTAACCAGAAGGTCCACCCGGATGAAGGTCGAAATTTAATGAACAGTCAAAAGACAGAGTGGATAAATTTCAACCCAAATGACTGTGGCGGTTATTCGAGGAAATACTGTGTTTTCATTATTATTATCATATTTTGTAGAAAGGTCAAGCTGCCCATTTTCAAAGGTTTGTTGAATCTGAAAGAGGACTCAATGAAGCCTGGCGAGGAAGACAAAGACTTCAAACTCTCCAGCAACAGTTGGAGGCTAATTTTGTGGCCAGATACCAAGACTCTCCTGGAAATATTGAATTGGCAAGGTAAGTCACTTGACAGAAAGCCGCATCTCACTAAAAGGGAGACGCAGCTCGCTAGAAAAGAACGCGTCTGAAGAGAGACGACAGTGATATCTCGCAAGAATTTCATCGCTTGCAGTAAAATTGTGTTAGTGCAATTTAATCGTCCGGGTGATTGTAGTCCTGAGAAGGACTGTTCGGTAGTTGTGACTGATGTTTTGAAGTATTTTTCATTTCGTTAGAGTTTTGCTTCACAATGAATTAGAGCTGGCAGCATCAAAAGCCTCCTTGGATTACATGAAGGCAGCGATGGCCGAACTGGCTGCGTGTAGAAATGAAAGGCATAGGGCCAAGGAAATCTTGATCACGAAACACAAAAAGATACAAGACTTTGAAAGACTAGCTGTGAGTTGTTTTAAACCCTTTGACCTCTTATCTAATTTCTCCTCACAACATCACCGCTGAATCTAACACAAAGGTCACGCGAATAAAGGAAATGATCACAAACTAAAGAAGCTCTTGATTGTTCATCAAATCCTCGCAAGCTTCTTACACGAAATGTAGACCGAACAGTTTGGAGAATAGACAAACTGATGATAGGGTGTAAAGGGTTGATCGAGAATTGGGTCTTGTCAAGAAAATATAAACTTTTAGTCTTGTAAATGTGAGTAATCGTGTGAAAAAAAGGGAATCAATTGAGGTGCGCATAGATCTAAAGGAAAAAATATAAAACGCGATTAATGCTGATAGCGAGATGTAGTGGCATTGTTCATCTCAAAATACTTAGTCTCACTCAGATTAGCTTACGAGCAGGCTTACATTAGGAGCGCTTTGGGACGAGCCTTTCGTTTCCCGCGGGAACTTATGAGGCCTTTAGCAACACGAGCCAGCAAGAGGTCTGCAAAGGGTCAAGCACTTATCATAATTAGTACCAGACCCCCGACAAACCTCGCCCTGACTCGTCTCAAACCTTCTCGTAGGCGGAGAAACGCATGACCTGCAGCGCTAATCAGTGATAGCCTCCTCGGAGGCTACACTCAGACTGACCTCAGTGTCATTCAAGTTGAAAAAAAATTTGGTTTGCTTTGGTGGGTGGCACGTGTATTGACCCTTTAATCCTTGAGAGTGATTAGCATCTAATTTCTCCTTTCAATATCACCCCTGAATCAAACTTTAATGAGAATAAAGCAAATGATCATTAACTGAAGAACCTCTTGATTGTTAAACAAATTCTTCTTGTCAGCGCATTAGGAAATGTATAGAGAACAGTACGGAGAATATGCATACTGATGTTAGGGTGTAAAGGTTTAAGTAAAACAAAACTCGTAGATTTCTCTCGACTCTCGATTGAAAATTGTCTAAATTTTAATATTTATTTTCTTTGGTTTCAGCAAACCAAACAGGCTATGATCCAAGCTCTTGTCAAACAAAATTCAAACGCCAGAACAAGGATCGAGAAGCAAAAACATGAGGTAAGTTACCAGTCTTCATCTATCTTTAAGAGGCACCAATTATGGTCCTTTAGACACCAAGTGGCACGTAGAGCATCAACAAGATATCTCTATTCCGACGCTCCCTACAGAGCGGGAAACATACTCCAATTACAAGTCAGATTGTGGAGTTCTATCCCTGAAATACTCCTCTTCCCGATGGATTTGGGACGTCCGCTGTTCGTCATTTAGGAAACGCATTTTGGTTCGTCATGGTGCAGGGTTCAGGCTCATATTTTCCCAGTCTCATTCTCCATCCAGGGTAGCAGTAAACCCTAACGGACCGGTCATTATTGATCGCTTATAGTCCCCTCTTTAAACTCTGTCAGAGATAACTGATTCCCCCCTCCGTTCCCCCAGAAATCCTTTTCATTCCCCCCCCTTAAAATCCCTTAACCCCCCTCTCCCCTCCAGCGATGTATAAAGACCGGTCTCTAATCAGAGAAATTTGAAAATTAATTGCTTTCGATGGATTTACATTAGCTTAACATCTCAGAGAAATTGAAATACTTCTTGTCCGCCTCATGCTTTACAAACCGGGATGACCCTAACATTTTACTTTTATTCTTCGGTGTCCACCTGAGAGAGATTCCCCTTTCTCTTATTTACGTCGTATAACATTTACCAGAGGGATGCGACTTTGGGTTACAAAAAAATGTCTCAAAATCTTACAAAAATCTGTCACCACATCCAAATGCAACTTTTTTACTCTACCATATTATCTTAGATATTGGGCTCAGCTTGCGCACTTTGCGTGAAGGAACTCAACTCTTAATTCCTTCACAAACTCTGTGTTGAATCCCATTTGCTATTCAGTTTAGCCACCATGCAGATGAGGTGCAGTAAGGCCGAAGCTGCTGTTTATGACTGCTAACCGGGCGGTGTATTTTTTTTCATCGTTTTTTTAGAAACAAAGAACTAGCGTCAACCGCCGGTGTCGTGTTAGTGCACATTTTGGTGCTATATCATAGAATTCTTAACTTAAAATCTATCATACCCTTTTGCTTACTTCTCAGCTCCTCCAGTACATACAGCAAAAAATCTGCTCGCACGAGGCACACGTAGTTGCCATGACAAAACAACTACAGAACAGTACTGCACGTGAGGTGGATAAGTTTGCTGCCTTACCTTTGGATCAAGTTCATTATTCTGGAGTGGACAGGTGAGTAGGTAGTGGCTATAGGCGAACCGAACCGCAAAAATTTTTTGTCGCGAGGCAAAAATTTCTCCAATTCAGCCCTCAAAAAAGGAAGAAGAAATAAAAGAAATTCCGTGAACAAAACTTGTAGGTCATGAAAATAAAGGAAACGATCGCTTTCTCAAGAAGCTTTTGATTGTTAATCAAATTCTCCTTATCGGAATCATTAGTACTCAACATAGAACAGTATGGGGAATATGCATACTTATGTTAGATTTTAAAAGTTGATCTAGTTGATCCTGTTCGCTTTCTGTGCACAGTGCCAGAAGAGTCCCAATCAGTGAATTATCAATAAACCGCCTGGAGAATCTCACCACCAGTGCAGGAGGAACAACAATCAGGGCTGTTTTAGACAGTTTGGATTTTCCAATGTATAAGGTGTGCACGAGAGGCTCGTTTTGAACTAAAAGTATCTTAGGGACAAGTTATTATTTTTTGCCTCGGTGGGGAGGGGGGGTAGAGAGGTGGAGGGATTACTTAGTTTACTTCGATCAGTCGGCCTACTGAATATAAACAAGGAATATAGAAAACTGACTGTTAATTGACTGCCAATTAACTGCCAATGAGGGGGAGGGGGGAGGGGGGATCATAAGCGTGGAAAAAATAAACTAACCTGTGACATAACCATGATTAATCCTCAGACCTTCAGATTCCGTGCTCCAATGCTTTGCCATTGAGCTACAGGGAACTTTTTGGCAAGTTAGGCCATGTTTAGGATGATTTGGTTTAATAAACTGAGTTTATAATGTAAATTGGCCATTGTAAAGAGTTTCTAAAGCTGATGTTTCTGACAAAGGGCTAACGCTCAAAACGTCAGCTTTTGAAACTCTTCACGTTGGTCAGTTTATACTTTCAACTCATTTGATAAAACTAAATTATCTTCCTATACCCCTATCGAAGCAGCATCACAGTTCCTTTAGAAACTTACCACCTTTATTCATGGGCCATTTTTAGATCCATATGTGACACGCATTTTGCATACTGCAAGGAAAGCGTCATATTAGTAAATGAATTTAAAAAGATGGTAAATTTGTAGCTTCTTAGTGGAATAGAGAAAAACTGTTTTTCGTCTTGTCACGAGCGGAGGACAAAACGTAAAAATCACTTCCGGTTTGTTCCTATCCAGGCTCCTGAAGAACTGCTTCCAACAGCTATGAATCTGAAAGAGAAAGGTCAGTATCTAGAACTTTTCGCTATGAATTGGAACTTTTTTCTTGTCGTTATTAAAATCTGTTCGTCAGTAGATTCTTGACGTTCGTGTGTTTCTTATCTTTTCAAAGTTGACGACGCTAAGATTCTGGCACAATCACGTGATAGCATGTTTTCTGAAGTCAACGGCGACAGGTCGTGTGATAGGATGGTTGTGCATTTGAACGGTCAGTAGTGGTCATCATTATTCAGCGTACAGGGAAGGAAGGGAGCCTGGGTGTTTTCCGGAGCTGAGATCTGAGCATGGATAGTAAACTATTTAGTAGCACTCCTACAACGGTGCGCTAGTTTCTGTTTTGGTGCAGCGATTTTACATTTTGCAAACATTTTGCTTTACTTTTAGCCAAAAACTCTCCTCTCTTACTCTTTGCTATAAGTCTAAAAGCGTTGTATCACAGATGTTGCAATCTGATTGGTTACTACTTCAGCTATCTCTTCCGTGATAGATATTGAGTAGAGTAAGTAACCTTAATGATTGAATCAAAACATGAGTCTCTCCTGTGGTTTGGTGTTGAGTCACCAATAGATTCATACTAAAACAGTTAGATTATTCGTTCTCTGTTTAGCTCACAGCTACATATATCGATCACCTTGCCATTAGCTTCTTGCTCTGCCCGAACTAAAATTCTTCCTCTATTCTTCGACAGGCTTGAGGAGAGAAGTTGCCGAACAAGACCGCGCACAACTTGATTATATTATGCCACTGATACAGAACGGGCTCAACAAAACCACCAAAGCTTTGTCAGACTGTATCTCTGTCAAGGACGTTGTAAGCTCATGGTAAGATCTTATTTTTATTGGGGAAGGAGGGGAGGGGGGGGAGGACGTTGTAAGCTCATAGTAAGATCTTTTTTATTGGGAGGGAGGGGAGGGCGTCTAACTAAAGCCTTAATTTTCGTCAATCACAGATGATTCTCGAGCGTGCCAACTGATATCTCAGTTTCATACCAATATTCTGTTTAATTTTTGTAGTATTCTTGATAAACTTATGTAGGCTTTGTTTGGTAAGCGCAGCTTTAACGTTCTCTGTAGGTGGGAGCAACCAGCTCAGTTTGTTGTACCGTGGGTGAAGTTGGATGACATGAACATGAGACAGTGGACAGACCAGTGGACATTGTGCGCCACTCGTTTGAGACAACTACAGATGAGTCACTGACAGAGGGGCTTGCGGTCGTGACGGACTGGAATCTCGTATGCTTTTTATTTCATAAATGTATTTTGGACAAAGTAAATAGTTAACCTTAAAGGACAGCTTTACCTTAAAAAACACAGACAATAACAAAACACCCACAAATGAAACAAAAAAAAACGGGCCACAGCGGAAATTAAAATCCAGGCCAAAGTGTGAAATTCGGTTTTGTCATCCAGTCTGATACAGGACCAAAGAAACTATAAACGTGATTTATTAGAAATGACCTCTATGTTTTAAGATAGCTGAAATAGCTTCCTGTGTTGAAATAAAATGGCAATAAGGGAAATCATCTAGTTCATGATCCTTCTTCAGGATTCATTTCATTTCAAACGTTTGTGAATCTTGAAAACATTTGACATTTTTTGTCAAAATTTCATCTTCTCAGTCTTTCCTAATTTTTCTTCCTCTGCTATCTTTGTATACTCATATTTTGTATATTGTTTCCTTCAAAATGAAGGTAACATTGTTTGTCGCCAAACAAAACACCAGAATACGGTGGCTCGGCTCTTGTTACTCGTAAAGAGTCGTGGAAAGTCAGGAAATGCTTTTACGAAGCATGTCGTGGAAAATCAGTACCATAAACAGTCACAATAAGTGCAAGAGTATTATTCACGGATGCAGCCTTTTTAAACTTTCGTCGGTTTGTCAATTCGGGGAGTGTTGCGATGGTCTTCCAACAACCGAATCCATCATAAGAGATCGATAATTCGTTCGGTGCAAGTCAATTTTCTCCTGAAATGCGACACCTTGTTTCAAAAAGGTGGGTTGTACGAAAAACGTGTTTATCTGCCCCAGTCGTAATCCCGCCTAAATACAGTTGCCTGTACCTGAGTCTTCTTCGCCTCTATCCGTCTAGACTGAAAGAGCAAACGGGAAATTTGAAGCACCACTTATTGTGCTCGTTGATGATTACCCTCGGAGACAGGTCGACAACTTTTTCTTCATTAGGTGGGCTTGTAATACAGCCGTCCTGCAGACAGCTAACGGATTTCCTTTGCCCCACGGCGATGTGTGCTGGGAGGTTTCGAAGTGCTTTATTGAAGTGTTGACGAAGGAAAACCCGGCACTTAAAAAATTGCATCGTTACTACGGCTCTGTAGTTTTATTGATATTGAATGTTAGTGGCATTTGATCTCTCGGCCATGAAACCTTACTATAGCTACAATCTTAAAGCATGTCGTCAAATTTTATTCAAGTTTTTCGTGGTCATCTTTTTATTTTTGGGAGGGCTATTTTATTCATTTTCCCCCTTAAACATCTTTGGTCCTTGTAGGTATTTTGATTATTTATTTTGTATTTCTAGTAATTTTTTGAAAAGAATGTGCTGTGTAGAAAGAAGACTCGGAATGTCCTTGGATCATGCATTCAAGCTGGGTCGAATTTCAGTTGTTCACTGTTAGAGGTGCTTTATCAGTACTTCAGAGATCCAATTATTGATGTTTTTTTTTTTCACAAAAATATGGAGGACTTAAAACCCTCTTGTGTTGGACCAAAGCAAAAGGAAAGATTAATGACCTCGCCTTTGTTAGTTATGCCTCGTCCGTAATGGGTTTCTTTCGTTCGTAAAGCAGGTCAAAGTACTTGATACAATTATCTCTGATTTCCTGTTTATGAATTCTCGGACTTGTTTTGTCAAGCAACCACTTCCAAGACGTTTTCTTTAGAACTCTCTTCCCAATTTTTGGGCCGTTTTGCGTTTTAATGTAGGATACAGAAATGTTTCCCATTTCCACATCCATGACACCATAACCGTCGTGCTTCCAGCAGTGTCCAAGAAGTAATTTCCTCTCAGAATAATAAGACATGTTTGCGCAGAAAGTTGAATGAGACAAAAGGAAAATACCGACCATACGCCAAATGATAAGAAATAACCTCATGGCAGATAATGCAGACAATTTATATTTAGATCTTGGATGGGAGTGCAAAGTTTCATTGCGTACTTGACTTTTGTCTCCGAGATGAAGAGCAGTTCATTTCATGTTAGCGAGAGCCAGGAGCTCGGAAGATGCTTAATTCTGTCATACCTGTTTCGACCTGTTAGCTCTTCCTTCTTCAATCGGCCTGATTCGCGAATGTAAATGAATTTAACTTTTTACTTCTACACGGTTGGAATTTAAGGAGCTTGCAATTCGTTAAACAAAAGCAGAATTGTGTTTCGAAATTTTACTGGATTTGTTGATTAAGATCCGTGATATAACTATTGTTTTCAGATATCGTATAGAAGCCTTTACTCTCCTGTATCGATGTACATCAAAGCTAATAGCACAAATGACTCTTATGTCAGACAAGAGATTCCGGTTGGGCACCCGTGCGGATATCCGCACTCATTACAAAGCAAACAGACACCGCCCTTAAGATAGTCACGTTCTCCTTTTTCTAACACAGAATTTGATGCGTGTAATGGCTCATGAAAAAAGGAAATGCCACAGGCAACCCAGACAATGAAGTTTTTGGCAACATCTTCTGAATGGATTTTGTGATACTCATGAACCGATAGACGACTTTCGAAAGCTACTAACGCGATATTTGATTTCGAGCAAACCCTTTGTAGAGAACTGCATCCCGGCCATGAAACGTGCTGATGACTAAATTTTGCGAACAAGTAACAGTAGGATTAGTAGGTTTGATTCAAGGTTAGTATGTCGCTTTCGAATAAACCAGTTCATGTTTGGATGGATTTTAGAGCTAGTTTGACCATGTGCTCATACTTTGTCAAAAGCAAAGTGCACGTACTCGCCACTGAAAGACCTCCAAGCCGGTTCTAACCGACATCAAATAGCGTAAATCTACGTAGAGATTAAAGGCACACTGCATTGCCAAATACTTGTAACCTTATCATCTAAATCAGGAAGGCCGTTACTTTCTTTTTCATTGTATAATTATATTCGACTTCTTTCCGTTTGAAAAAAATCAAATCAGTTTTATGGGTATTATTTAGCTATTTTCACAGTTGCGGCTAACTCTTACACGGAGGTTGTAATCAATAGGTCTTCACACTTCGGTTTGTGAATCTGGTTTTCAAATATACACCATAGAACCTGTTTAGAAAACATGGACAAGTTTCTTAGGAATTTTTTTGACCGTTGTAAAATTTCATCTTGAGGTTGCCTTTTAAAATAGCAACGGTGACATACTCCGGCAGGCCAACAACTTGAAAACGAGAATACTTAGCATATTTTTGAAACTCTGTCATCATTTGGCATTTTTTTGTACAAGAAATATCTGCTGTGGATATTGGTATTTTAATTCCCTGAAAATGGAAGAGGACACACTTTTACCATTCAAGTGAGAGACGAAAAATAAAGCTTAACTTCAGACCTCTTGTGGTGGTTTTTTTTAAGGGTTTTGCTTTCGCCCCAGGCTGGAGTTTATTTTTAATGTTCGTTAAACTTTATCGTCATTTTGAAATAAAATTTAGATGCATCGCTTCAAAATAGTTCCGCATTGCTTCCTCAAGTGAACTGAAGCAAAAGAGCTCGCAAATTCAGTGTTATCAACCACTAACGAATCTTTAGCACGTCGTTCGCGTCAAACCGTCGGACAAGCAGAAATCACAGCTCTCAAGTTCGTCCTCCTCGAGCGTTTTTATTTGTGCCGGTTTTTGGAATTTCAAAACGATAACTTTTCTGCTAGCGTCAAATATTTTCACTAAACCATTACCCTTCAGGCCGGCTGTGAGAGAGGACCTTCGAGGAACTTCGCGTCAAAACAGGAAGCCGCCGGATTTTAGCCAAGAATCACTTATTTTTCAGGATTTCAGGTCAAATTGAAAAATTGACAACCTTACATATAATATTCAATTTCATGCCAACAAAATGATTCATGGATGACTAAAGATCGAGTTATGTGTGGAAACGTTAGGCAGCTCAAAAAGAAAGATTATTGACATTCCTTTGAAAATCAATGCAACAATTATGCAACCGCTAATCAATATCTCACTTTCTCGTATCTTATTGCGGTTTTTCTTGGGTCCAAAGTAGTTTGCTCTGACTAAAAATAACACCAAATAAATGAAAGACCATTATTCAATTGTTCGATTGAATAATTCCTTGATCAAGTGCAGTTCGACCTTCGACGCGCGTATTTTCTTTCGGCAATTTTGGTTTAAGATTTACACTTCCAAGTTTTGTTTTGTGATGTAACCGAAATTTCCGTTGAATCGCGTGAGCAAGTTCTTCCGTATGTGGCTGATATATGAGCGCACGTTCTTGTTGCTCGTTTGAAAGGGTCGCCGCTGTATTGGCCCTTAATTAAAGGGTGTATTATGAGGATCTCAGCCACGGTACTTGCATCTTAAAACGCTTAACCTGCGTTTTCTAATCCCTTCCTTTATTATCCGTATCAATCTCCTGCATGATCCGTAACCATTCTCGATCCGTCTTTTTACTGGTTCCTACTCCTCTTGTGAGTGTGCGTGAGTATATGTGTGTGTTTTTTTATTTCTCCGACAGTTTTCTATTAAACGTAAAGAGTTGTAGAGTAGCTGAGAGAAGGATATAAAATTACGGTGGTTTCGCGTCACAGTTTAGCTCGCATTTAAGATCTCTCGGAAGTAGGGGACTTATAAAAGCTAAGAAGTACTGGTAAGCTGCTCTTGTGCATACCTTATAAAGGTGTAGATGAGAATCGGCTTTGTGATAGAATCTGTAACAATGTTAAATTTAAATCGAGTGTTTATACAAGACTATGAACTCGTTGTTCTCACTCTTTCATTGCGGGTGAGGATGTAGTAAAGCTTTGATTCCAAACCATTGATTTTTACTTTGAGCTGTTTGCTTAACACCTATTTCTCAGGGATTCAAAAATGGGAGAAAAATGCGGAATAGAAGCATGTCAATGACCTTGAAATATGCGACATGGAATATCTTTCAGACTTCTGTAGTCCTCTACATTTATTGAACATAGCATGCTTGTGTTCTCTCACTCGTGGTACTCTTTCTTCTCTTCTCTAAGCTTTCATTCGACCGGAGTCACTCCCCAAAGTCACGGACTTCAACTCTGTTTAAAAAACATGGAGCCACGCCTTCCACGCAAGCTGATTTTCGTCCCCTGGTTGTAATCATAAAATGCTTTCACATCACGCTACACCGACGAGTAAGGAACAAAATTCACTGGAGGCCCCTTATCTAAATAAATTGCAAGTTCTCTTTAGCTAAATTTAAATTTGAAATATTCATTAGATCGTTTTAACATGTACATGTGAAGGTTACATTCAATAGCTCACCTCGAATTTCCTGTTTGGGCTTCTATTTTTATGAAAGGAAATTTGCTTCAGTAACTCTTGGTTGACGCACTTTTAAATTGCGTATCACCGGTCAGGTGACTCATGAATACGTCATGTCGGTCCAAAGGAAAGACTTGAGGGGCAGTGAAAAGAGAACAAAGAAATGTTTCATGGAGGTCGAAAAGTGCTTGATATCAGTGCCCAAAGGAGGCATAGAAGTGTTAAAATGTGTTTGCTCAATCCTGCAAGTCTGGCGTATCTTAGGCTCTGAATTATAAACGTTCTTGTGGAAAACCAAACAAAATGTATTAGTACGTGCCGGTCGTACTACACAACCTGTGGTAACCATGGTGATCGATGCTGACTAACCGGATGATTACACATACGCAGGCTCATACATCACTCTCCTTTCATAGAAAGCACTCTAACATTAGCAGCTCAACGGTGAATCTTGGAGACTGAATCGAGGATTAAAAAACTAGCTTGAAAACCCGACTGCTGAGAGAAAGGAAGGCGGATTCTGATCTTGTCTTGTTACAGGTAAGGTTAAGCAATGATGTAATTGTGATTGCTAGCTTTTTCAGGCTAGCCTAAGAGCTACTCCAACTGAAAGTTAAGACTCTTTAAAGCTGAAATTTCCCAATGAATCATTCGGTTGTAATTTCATAGTTGTTTGTAATTTTCGATGGAGTATTAACAAGCAAACCACAACTGGTAAAATGTGAATTCTGTCTTGTAACTTGCACCGCGTAAAACATGCATGCCTTATAATAGGAAATGAACAATTCTGATAGTCGTGGTTTATGGTGTTGCAGATGCCACGATCTCCCCTCCACGACACAAATTAGCAAGTGGACTGTAGGCCCTTTAGTTAAGGCCAAATACAGCGGCGGCTCTTTCAAACGAGTAACAAGATCGTGCGCTCATATATCAGCTACATACGGAAGAACTTGCTCTCGCGACTGAACGGAAATTTCCGTTAGAAACACCGAGAAACATCGAATATATTCGAGCCAAGTACATTGAATTCCCGCACGATCTTGAGAAAGCAAGCGCAAAAAATTTTACTCCGTTGTCTTACCAACAATATTTTAGCCTCCGTGTATTTTCAGCGTGTGAAGGAGATATAAAACTTTCCTTCAGCAAGGAAACCATAGCGTGAAGACCCGGAAATCCGTTCAGTGAATACTGCCTGTCCCAACCACCAGCTAGAAAGTACCACCTTTCGCTGAGCAGCTCTTCTTATTGCTCACTATCATTTGCAGTTGCAAACTTAAAACCGCTTAACATGCCCATAGTTTTAGTGTAAGTGAATTACTTGTTACCATTGCATGCCTTACCTTGAGATCCGGACTGAAGGAGAATGTAAAGGGGTGTTTGACTTAGTTTCTTTCTTGAAAGTCATCTTACCGTTTGCATCTGGCACCGCCCAAATGGAGACTCTCTTTTTACTGAAGTTAACGTAGGAGCTTTTGTTTAGATGGGGTTTCTCCGGGAAAGTAAGTAAGAAGAGGAAGTTGGAGTTGTATGCCCATCCACATAAAAGGAAATGTTACATTTCAATTGAATGAACTGGTCATGTTCTTTTCTCCGGTTTGATAAAAAGGAAAACAAAACAAATGTAATTCCTAATTGCAAAAAAGGCTCCGTTTTAATCTGGTTGATGGGTTCGATGGTTTTTGATGATTCACGGTGACCGCACTGAAAAAAAGAAAAATGTTTGGTTCCGTCTTCTTTTGACTTGCTTGCTGCAGAAATGGAACTGTTCTGTTTTTCCTTTTTTAGTTAACCTCTTGGCTGTTTGTTTGTTTGTTTGTTTTCTGTTGCAATAAATGGAGGACCATGCTGTCAATTGCGTAACTAAAGTGGATTTAAAAAAAATTCGGAAAGCTTTTAAAGATGGCTTGTCCAGTGTGGCGCTAGAACCAGTCGACCCATAATGCTAAATGGGAGTTAGTCAACCTCATTATAACGATACTTCCCTATCTCGTCCGTGTCATAAAAAAAAAACTAAGAACGTTCTAGATTGAACAGAGTTGGTATAATCACAAACAAACAGCCCAGCTGGTGATTAAAATGCTTTGCTCCGGTTTAAAAGTAGCTCATTATTAGGAAAAAGTCATGAAAAAATTTTTGCACATTCGTGAATGGCAACCGAGTAAGATGTACGTTCCATTCTGTCCTATTTCACACTCAAGATCCAAATAGTAACTCTCCTTACTGTCTGCCTCATGCAACGTTAGTTTCGAGCATTTGGCCTTGGATCTCATAATAATACCCCAAGCGTTATATTTCCTTATGATTCTCTTCACCTTACGGCTTGATATTGTATCGATATTGGAAAGAGAAATCATGTCTTGGTCATTCCTGGGCGTGGGAGGGTGAAAACAGTTAATGATATTTATAGTCTGCAATGTACGATGAGAGTTAGTTCGTATCTTTGACATGGCAGTCTTCACTTTCAGAACTCAGAATAAACTCGTTGCATGTTTCAATCCTAGATCTCGTTAGTGTGAATACGCCCATCTACAGGTGTGTCATGTGTTTACCCTTGGTGCGATAAAAATTTGTTTGTCGCGATCGTATGATTTCATCTCTGCGTGAGACTCCAGTTTGAACGCAAAATTGGCGTGTCATCAGAAAGCCGATATAAACGTATGATTTCCCCGACTAACCGAAATTCGTTCCAGTCAGAAACACTCCATCGCCGTCGGGCCAAGCAATTCTCTGTCCTCTCGACCTGTTTTCCGGGAAGTACACTCCACACTTGAAATAAACACCCTCAAATTTCTTTACCTGCTTTGCAGAAATCGTCACTGCGCTGAAATATGCCCTTGATTTTGTTTCGAGAGGGTAGGTTGTTTTTTGAAGTTGCAGATAGGTGTAAGGAGTCTAGACTTACCTCCTACAGTGACCTTGTGTGTAGCGTGATTTTCAAACATCCGCCTGGTATTAATGGTTTCCGCTTTGGTTTGACACTATAGAAAATATTGTCAAGGTGTTCCCAAGCAAACATGTGCAGACTTTGCGATCATACAAAGTATTACAGTCAACTTGAAAGGCTAGACGACTTTTCTTTTCCAGTTGTCAGATTTAGCGAGAGTGGTGCGCTTATGGTTCATTTAAAAATTGCAAGCGCTCGGCGACCCATCGATGAGAATGGATTGTCCTTTTCACTAAATTGTATCGTTTTTTGTTTCGGTGTTTTTTTTTCTTTTCTTTTGTTTTTTTTGGTGTCTGTTCCTTAGCTTCGGGTGATCTAAAGTGAAAGACGATAGTGCCGAAGAAGTAACTAAAAAATAAAGTCTCCTTCCTATGTTCTCCTTTCATTTGTTAGGCGTTCGCCCTATGTAAGCGTCGTGTGCGAACTGAGCGCCTTTGAGATTCACCAGAAATATTTTAACTTAAGACACACTCTAATATCAATCGTTGTGGTGGAGGGGAGGGAGGGGGAATCATTCAATATTTTTAGTGTCCTTTTGTCACTGAGGACTTGAAGGCGAGACCCTGTTTACAGCAAAGAAAACCGAAGATACCTATATACCTTATATAGAATTTTTTAAGGACTGAACCAATCAGTTTGAAAGACAAATTGAACAAGGGACGTTCATTTGAAAAACTATTTCTTAAACAAAACGAATTTCAAAATTTTTTTGGTCTTTGACCTTCTTTGGCAGAAAATAATCGCTGAGCTAAAAGCGTATTCCCCTTTCAAGACTGAAAGGTATGAAAAGCTAATGCACACCTGGTCCCTTAGTGCGAGCTTACTGTGGGATAATTGTCCACATGTAGTCTGATAATCACATCGGGAGCCCTGACAAAAAAAATTCATAATCGATGGTTAATCTTCTCTGTGCGTAATCTAAATATAGAGAGTTTTGGTAGTTGTTTTGTCCTGCGGTTCCGAAATATTGTAAGTTGAATAGGAAGTTTTCTTTTCTTATGATAAATGAAGTGAAGAGCGCAAAATATGCCAATCCCAACAAACGTTCGCAAATATTTATTTGGGTAATGCTAAACCCCAAAACACTATGCAAATAAAGTACAAATTAGGACTGCGCAAAGGAAGGAATTTTGACGGGCGACAGGACGTTTTCAAGAATTCATTTGTCATTCTTTAATTCCAGGGCAGCTGCCCTTTCCACAGGAACCGCAAGGAAAATTAACAGGAAGAGGCTAACACAAGTGTCGAGTGGCCTTTTAAGATGAAATCTCGAAATGCCGAGAAGCAAAAAATAGCCATCTATAAGTCGTTGATACTGTCATCTGACTCTAAAAGATATTTTTGTTTAGATTACTCAAGCTTTAATTTGATCTCGCAAGAAAAGGGAGTACAGATATATTTGACACTCGGCAGAAACAAACAAATTCGGAGCTCAACAAATCGAACTCGCGGGAATCGCCAATTTTAAACCTTGGATCATTAGAAATCTGTCAGTCAAGATTTAAGATCCCTTTACTCAGGAGATTATGCAGATACTCTGCAAAGAAGCGTTTTTTGAAAAACAATCAGTCCCCCGGGAAAAAACCATACGCCGAAGGAATTTCCGGTACAAAACCACAGTGTAATTTTGGCATTGTCATTGGCCGTTATTGTCGCGCGCCGGAAATCAGTAATTTCCAGAGATAACACTATGATTAATTAATTTTTCATTCTTGTCGTATTTAACAGCGTTTATGTAAAGAGAGAAGGTTCGCTGAGCTTCTGTCACTAAATACAGAATTGTTTGCAGCTTTGAAAGCGCCTTTTGTGTCTTTTGTCAACAGAATGCGAACCCACGCCGTAATGTCGAGTGATGCTCTTTGTTCCCATTTCCGGCCGCCAATAACAGATAACGTCATGTTTCCGTTTCCGGTTAATTTCCGCAAGCTTGCGGTGATACAGCGTCACGTGCAGGAATTTTCGCTTAAACTCATTTTAGTGAACAAGTTTAAACCATTGCTTGTTTCTAGTATGGACCAATTCAATATTCCAACGCAGATGGCTTTGTTTCACATCCAAAGACAAGCCGACAGCGCTGATTTTGCAACTTTGACCGAGGTGACAAAGTGGACAATTTTCCCGCCGCGTAATTTCCGGTCTGTGGTGAAGAGGTCACTGTGAGATCAAAGCACCCCACAATAGCCGTTGCTAATTCCTGTCTCCTTTCATTTTTGTATCTTGTGGTTACAGCATTTCGTGGGCGTAGAGCGGAAATATCAAGCACTACGAGCGTAGAGAGCCGGTAGCATGTACTCCTCTAGAGATAGTCAACAGACTTCTATAAACTGCGCAGAGAACAGATCCAGGTTAGAGGGTCTGCCACTCACTCACGAACCCCGCGTTTGGCCATACAACCCACGAACAGAGATGTACCCGTACCAAATCGATGCAAGTGAGCACAACAAATCAAACTCCAGGTAATTTTTTTTTACATTTTATTTTTGCCCGAATGGTCCTATGTTCAGAAGCCTACCTCATCATTATTTCAAATGGCTGTTTTAAATTTAATATATATTTCCCCGCGATTTAGGTTATGTATAATACGTGCGTCCATCGCGAAACTCATTCGAAACCGTCAAAGCGATTCTTAAAAATAATTGTTCAAATGTCAGCTTTGTGGCCAAATTTAGCCTCCATGTCAGACCACTGCTTCCGCTCCACTGCTTTCTTGCGTTTTTTCGAAATCCGTTCAACGAGCGTGGTCATTTCCTAGGTTTGCGTTTTTGATTCGAAAGGTTTATGTTGTATCTGTTATTATCACCGGTTTGAGGCTAGGAGAAGAACCGCTAGCACCGACGCTTTAAACAGTCACTTAGATCACTACTTCGAGAACGAGATAATCCATTCGTCAGCGAATCTACGCGATCTTTCCAGGAACTTCCCTTTGTTACACACGATTTTCCTGGGCTAAATTTCTTCAAAAATCTTTTAAGGTAAGTTCACTGAGTAGGGCCGATGTTTAACCAGACGACTTCTCTATAAAATCACTCTTGCATTTCACCCATTACTAATTATTTGTTCATTTTATTTTTAAACTGGCCGTGATAAACCGAGAAATCCGCTTTCAAAAATAAGTCAAATCCAATAGAGAGAATATCTGCTTAGAATTTAAATCTGCTGTAGAGTGCGACTTTTTTTCTTTCATTTCACTTTCGAAGGGCCAGGTTGTGTATTGTTCGAATAGTTTGACGTTGAAATATTTTGTTCGCCTTACTTCGTTCATTAGCCGATATTAGTCAACTGGAAAATTATTTGAACCGATTTTAAATGATTCTTCAGCAGACACCGAACTACTCGTAGAAAATCAAACCCAGGACCTTCCGTTGCAGAAAAATTTGACTGTTTAACAATGTTTTAGCTTTCAGCTTGAAAGTACCGTTGCACCATTTGCCTTTTTGAAAATGAGTGAAAAATAATAATAACAAATACTGCATGTTCCGAAAAAGTCAAGAGAGTGTCTAAGAGGAAGGGTCTACGAATTTCCTGTTTGGAAATACGTAAAGGTGTCCTAAATTACAATATTACGTTTTTCTGATATGGTTTTCCGGTTGTAAGAAAGAAAACAAAGAAGGAGAAAATGACTAAGCTGCAACTTTTGTTTTGGCTGTAAGCAGGCATTATCCTAAGGTCTCAAAAGGGGAAGTTTTTGGGTTTTTCGTGGAAATTGAAATATCTTTATTGCAATCGAAATGACATGTTTTCAAGTCCGTCAGACTTTTTACTGCTAATTGCCGGGGTTTTTGTACGGACGAAATAAAGAAATTAACGAGCTGGAAAAGAAATTGGAAAATCTTGTAATGAGGCAAGGAAAGACGTAAAGAATTTGAGGAATGCTTAAAACGGGTGTGGGTTGGGTCGGGAGTGCACTTCGAAGTTTGAAAACAACATGTAATCTATCAGGTATCGAATTTTCCTGACAGAAATGGGCAATATGCTCTGAGAGTGAGACATGTTAATTACTGATAAAAAGGTATGCTATCAAAAGCACCGGAAGACCCTTCAAGAAGCCTCTTACTGAATCTTGAGAATTCTTTTTATCAAAGTTGAGCCTTTTCAAGTTTTCACTTTACAAAAATTAATAGAAAATTGAGATTAAAAACCTTTGAATTAGACCTCAGTTGGCTTTGCTCGCTGTGTTTTCAACGCAGCGTACGGAATTCGTTTTCGTTCAAATCAAAAACATTTGCAAAATGAACTGCATTTGAAGCTACAGAGTATTTGAACCAATATTTTGCCTCTTTTAAACAAGAAAACTTGAAAGATTTTCTCATCAAACACATCTACTTAAACTTAAAAAAAATGACTATGTTAAAAATAGCATATACAGGTTTTGTAGTAAGATTACTCAGAGGTCGCAACGATTAGGTTTACTTCAAGCCGAGAGTGTTGTAGGAATGCACAGATCAGGCAGAGTTTGGAATATTATCTCATTTACACCTATAAATTAAAGCTTGCAGTTCATAGGCACGTAATGTTTTAACTTCCATCTCACCCGTTACGCAATGGGAACCACAATAGGAACAAGCTTTTGTTTTTGCTAATTTCTTAATAACATTATCCTTTCCTGTATCACCTTTGCATTTCATCACGTCTTGAATATTTTGAGCATGGTTGCCCTCGAGTTCCATGTTTGTTCATGGGGTGCAAAACAAAATAAAATACTTACCTATTTGCACGGTCATTGTGGGAGTCGTGCCAAGTCACGTATAAAAAAAGTATCCCTCTATTAGCAATGCTTTTTGGAGAAAAAAACTTAGTCTAATCGCACAATATTTTTGTCGATATTCAAAGAAGATTTTTAATGCTCTCTCTCTGTATTGTTCAAAGTGAGCTTTCCAAAGAAGCTTACACATAACATTTCTCATTTATTTGCGAGTGGATTCCAGTAACCCTCTTAGCATTATAAGGATATTTTACGTCAGAAAAGCTTCAATTACGTGACACATTCCTGTTGAAACGGGCTTAAAGCGATTTTGGTGCACATTTGTTTTCTTCATCATTTGAAACAAGCCGGGGTTGATAAACCAGCTGATTGTCAATAAGCGAGTTTGTGCGCTTGGAAGGATCATTTTTTCTCAACCTCTGACAGAATGCCACTTCCGAGGTATACTAGTTCGTAGTTCTACTCCTTTTAAGGGCCAAAAATATTACATAGTTCCGTCCGTTTGGGGTAATTCCGGAATTCCGAGGTTGTTAATGGTCAGTCTATAAATATATATATATATATTTACAAATATTGCTTCATGGGTTTAAAAATTGATTTATTTTTTGCCAAATTTTATCCAGAAATTTCCCCATGTTTTTCTGTGGGCGTTATTGAGGTGTGACTGAATGAAAATAAGCGAAAGTAGTTCCTTCTCGCTCAAAACTCTTTGTCCAACAAAGAAATCAAGAACTTAGGGGATTTTTTTACTTGTATATCACACTGTAGAAGTATGAGCTTTAATGGATGAATTCCAGAAGAAGCCGTGACAACTTCCGAAATATTTGTAGGCACGATTCGTGCAAAGAATACAAACAAGCTCAACAGGAAATGAGCAATTGAACTCTTCCGATTACATCAAATAACTTATAAGCCGAACATCACGCTATTTCATAGTTGTACGTGTCGTGGCAGAAGTGAAACCTCAGCGAGGAATTCAAGAAGATTTCCAGAGAAATTCATGGCTTGCGTTTTTCCTAGGTTGGATCCAGCTTTAGCTTATCCCGTTCCTTTGAGACCAAGTGTTTTTCAGCACGCACGATTCATCGATAAAATGCAACCCAGCATGGCGAGAGTGAAGCAAGAAAAGTACGAGATGGCGTTCCCGGAGGAACCTTTAAGCGAAGGTAGGTAATAAGGGTCGATAGTTATGGACTGAACCGAAAAACTCTTTTCGAAGCGAGTTTAAGTATGATGTTTACAGCAGTTAGAATGAACGCAGGTTTTGTACTTTCGTTGGAATCCCTAAATCAACTTTTAACTCAGGATACCAAATATCTCTTGTTCACAGTTAATGCAAAAATTTTAACTAAAGCGTTAAAAAATCTTAAGGCGATAGCAATTAATTCAGTTTCTCGGTTTTGCCTTTAGCCAATATAGTTCATAATTGTACAATTCTACCACTCAGCAGGGATTTGAGGCAGTCTTCATGTAGTTGTTATTCATCGTATATTTACATGTTTCATGACTGATTGAGGACGAAAATTTTGATTCCCTCAAATGTCGTAAGAATGAAAATTAAGACAATCTATCCATGTACAAAAACCAAAAAAACCAACGGCGATTGTAAGAAGAATGATTTAAGCAAAATGGAACGTGACAGCATTCAGGGATTATTCAATTGTGTCGGTTGCCTTGTTAACCAAACAATTGGTTGCCTCAAAGCTAACGTCATGCTTAGACTGAGCCATCTATTTTCATGAATATTATTATAAATAGAAATGAATAAAACCAAAACGTCAACTGTTGCAACAGGGAAATCGAATGGTCCTTTAGCATTTACGCAATTCCGCAACGCATTAAAAGTTCCGTATCGAAAATAGATTTTTGTTGGTTGTAATTTTCCCCTGAGAAGAGAGTATGACGAAATACTTTAGATATAATTTGGGCACGAGTGTTTTTTTTTTTTCTGTCGTTGTTGTTTTTTTTTTCCTAATGATTCTTGCTCAGTCGTAGATAATTGAAAATTAATTTCATCATTATTAAGGGGCTGTATGAAAACTGAGTCATCGTGGGCTTTTATAGTGCGTTTATTGAGATAGGTAAACTTGTTCAATCCTCCGTTTGTAATTTTCCAACTTACACATTGGGTAAAAATCCTTAGTGTGATGTTCTTTCATGTATTTTGCCAAAGGTGACTTCTGTGACCTGATGTGAAGCTACAACCGGTATTCTTACATGAACAGAGTTGGATGTTACGAAATAGAGCTTGTCTTAATTGTCGCCTGTAAATGTTGCTAAAGTCGGAGATTTAAAAAAAGATAGATATCCAGTGTTTCAGGGTCCTATTTAAACCTCCTGTGTTGAACTAGATGCTTCTGGTATTGATATGAACATGCTAGAAGAGATTTGAAATTCATAGCAGAATGGGTTTGCAACGCTTCCGTCTCTTTTCCCTCATTTTCTCACTCTTTCCCCACTTTTCTATGTATTTAACTCGTACATGTCTATTTATTTATTAATTTTTGTATTCTATCTTTTTTTCCTATTCATTTCTTTATTTAGTCTTGAATATTTCAATTTAATGTTTATCCTTTTGTTTTCTTTTTATTTCAGTTGATCCAAGAAGGTGGAGTCGCGAAGATGTAACACGCTGGCTCCAATGGACTTCTGAAATGTTTCATCTTGGAAGCATTAATCCCGAGCGATTCCAAATGAACGGTAAAGCTCTATGTCTCATGACAATGGATATGTTTCTGTACAGAGTTCCCGAGGGAGGAAATATCTTGTATCAAGACTTCCAGAGGAGACTTCGAAACGCTGTGGCTTTGCAGAATTAACCGCGTACTACCTGCTAGATCTGTGACTAAACGTGATGTAAGACGGCTTTGGATTGGAGTTTGGAACTAAGATAAGCAGAGCAGAATTTAGATAAAGTGTAAACGGGTTGTCTAAAGAGGACTGAGACGAAATGAAACCAGTGCCTTGCAAGAAAAGCTAGTCAAGAACGTCGTTAAAAAATATCGCGCGAAAAGATTGCAGTTTATTTGTGTTTTTCTGCACATCCATGACTTTGGAACTTTCGTTGCCACTTAGAGTTTAGATTGAGGACTGTTTTTTCGGAATTGGTTGCTGTTTTTTCTTTCGGCTTCCTCAGGAAGTGGGAGGAACGATAATTAATGCGATAGGTAACGATTTAAAGAAAAAAAAAGAAGCAAAATAATTATTTTTGAGTAGGCTTGTTACTCGAGTTAATAAAGCTAGTGTTATTTGTAGGAGAAAGAAAGCTCATAGCAAATTATTTGAAATGAATGAAAGTATGATTCGTTTCTTGTAAATAGTTTACAAAGATGCTTTATTTTTATGAAATATTCAAGACGTACAACTAAGTTTATATTTCAAGTCATCACAGACGTAATACATTTTTACAGTCATGTTTCTATCATGAATCAATAAACATTTAACAAGAGATTTATTATTCATTGGAGTTTGTGCGGTGCAATATATTCCACATTCCTTGTCGAAATATTATTTTGTATTTTGTAATGTCTGGAAAACCGACTTTGGACACATATTTCCGCAAATACGCTCATTTTAACGAGCTGATGTTTCGGCTTTTTGTGATGAATTCCGTAATGGCTTAATGAAGTCTGAAAGAAAAAACCGCCAACGACTCTCACTTTTCATAGTGCCCAAATTCATGCAATGGCGGTGACATAAAAGAGCCGTTGGCGTCATTTCAAATAAATTTTGGTGTCTCTATATCGGTTACGATTCATTTCTCTTCGCATATCTGGTAATTTTTAGTTCACTCGCAAGATAGCCTATCTCTGGGGTCACAGAATTATTTCAATATCTCGTAGACTTTATTCGGCAAACTGGCGCGCGCGCATGATAGTCGAGACCTTTGGCGCAGTTAAGATTTAAAAATTAGTGCTAATCCACCCACGACAATCAGCTCTATTACTACATCCAACTGACGCATAGCCCGATGGAAAGATTTTTTCAAGCATGTATGTGTTCTAATTGAAGAGAAATAGAGGGGGAAGCGGAACATTAGAGCCAAGGAGATAATGTCAAAGTTAAGTGGTGTTAAAAGCTTAATTATTAAGGAGGCGCATGATTACTTAAGCGATATACACCTAATAAACTTTCTAGGGGCATACCTAAGAGCAAAGGCAAATCGAATGGACAAATGTTAAGAACAAACAAATTTAATGATTTGCAATAGTGACTTAGCCGTCATTGTTTCCAGTGAGCTTCATGTACACGAAGCAAATACCAACAACGGCTTTTCAATATTCTGTAAACGATACCATTGACCGCTCCTCGCCCTTCACCTCATTTGACATGGAACTGAAAATCCATAAGTCATGGAATATTAAGGATTAACCTCTAGAAAATGTATCAATACAGACTGGGGCATACAGTCGACTTAACCATTTTTACTTCAATCAAACCGATTCGATCTCTAGCCGCTTCCTGCGTGATTTACAGCAGATCAGAGCACAGACGACGCTTCTTTATCAGTCTAAATATACTAGACGTGGCTCCTGAGGTCAACGTCGTACTATCCTGTGCCGGAACAGGCGCCAATTTTATTTTTTTCGTATTTCAGGCGAGCGGATGAAAATGCGCGCAAGGCGAGACGCCTACAATCGGATATATTTTGTTTTTTTATCGCGCTCCTCCCGACTTGCTTAATTTTTTTCGTATTTCAGGCGAGCGGATGAAAATGCACGCAAGGCGAGACGCCTACAATCGGATATATTTTGTTTTTTGTCGCGTTCCTCCCGACTTGCGTCTCGCCTCTCTTCAAACCCCCTCTAGTGCTTTCCTCTCAGCCTCATATGCTCGCCTGAAAATGGCGCCTGCTCTTCAGCCTAGGACTAAGGTGCAATAGCTCGTCGTCTTAGACATAAGTAATCCTGAATTAATGAATGTTTCTTGAAATGGTCGTGGGTTAAGGCAGCGCATCGCTCTTTCTGGGACTGACTAGGAACTTCGAACTTTCAAATAAGAAGGATGGTGAAGTTTGAGCTCCGCAAAGTGATAGAGAATGATTTTTATTTTTTCTTGTCTCTGTCTTATTCTGTTCATATATATGACTCTTTTCGACATTGCTTATCGTTGCTGTATGCTGGACAAATATGGGATTTGTAATGACGGAGCTCGTAGTGGTGTCTCTGTGGCTCAATGGTGCGACGTTCGATTCGTCATGAGGACTCAGATTTTTTTCTTTGTCCCGCGCTCGAGACAAGACGAATGAATATCTTCCTTCACAACCTTTCAAACGGTGCTATTTCTTAACATCTTAGGACTACCGCACCGTGCGGCTGGTCTCTTGGTCAATAAAAAGGAACTCAGTGCGCGGGTTGCTTTCTCCTTGTGTGATAGAATGAAAGCGCTTTTAATTCCTTTTGAGGGCTTTTAATTTTGCTTTCTTTCCTGATACAGTAATAATGCGTTAGTTTCTTTTTTTCACCGGTAAATTACAGTGCGTCATGATCATCTTTGCGTTTTATTTGTTGCGCTCTCTTCGGAAGAGGACAACGAAATAACAATTATTCATTTATTCACAAAATTTCAAAATGAGGCCTAAAACATTTCTTATCTTGCCTCCACTACTCAACCGGGCATAAAGGTGTTGATATCTGGGTGCATTGGCCAACCAAGCCACCGTAACGTTTGTTTAACACCAATATGCTTACAAAAGTTTATTACGATCGAAAGAAACTAAATGCACCAAAGCCGGACACGAAAACCCCTAAATACCAGCAGGTGAGAAGAAAGGGGAACATGCACCTCCAACTAAGGCAGTGGCACCACCCTCAGGGTTTTATGGTATCCTATGAATAACATGATATACAAAAGTAGATAGCAGTTAATTAAGGATGTATGCGAGTACAGCTCTGTGTAAAACCTGATGTGAACATGACAATATTTGAGAAAAAAAAGCTAAATGAATTTGAGGGAAAACGAAACCAAACAACTTATCACGACGAAGGCTGACCGTAGAATGCCTCGCCCTACTACCACGTTCCCATAACTCTCCGCGCTCCTCGCACTCGCCTCCAGTCCTTGATAGGTGCCGGCAAAATATTAATTGATGCTAATTACGATTCTCACAAATTACAACTAATTCATTATCGAGATCTACTGCTTTTAATGATATCAGTCTTTCAAATGAGCTCTTTTCGAGTGTCAGTACTTTCCTGGTCACAAAATAATTCCTAAAATTCAATAGTTGTGAATTTTCTCCTCTTGTCACATACCAATCCGTAACTCACAATGCCTTTCATTGAGCTTGATTATTGATAAGTTGGCAAAGCGTGCAAACAGAACTCCGGATCCGTGCCAAATCTGTGACGTGTAGTCGATTATTTGCCGCAGTTGTTAATCCACATTCATTAGAAGTTGTGGAATTTTCAGCAAACCACGCTGTCTGTCGTAGAGTAAAGACGTGCCTTCCGTAAGGCTAAACATAGGCGCTCTGGAGGAAAGAAGACACTCGACCTGTAAAGACAAACAACAAAAGCACTCTTATGTCACTACTACAACAGGTGAGTAATGCCGTTTGAAAATATTGCCTTAAGCACCTTCAAAGATATAATATTATCTCAGTCGTATTATCTCAGTTCTACGACGTTGCACGAATCGGTTGGTTGGACTGAACGGCTCTTCAACTCGAAATTAGAGTAAATTAGGGTGTTGGCTTCGAGAAAAGAGGAACCTACGATTGAAACGTGTTATTAGTGAAACTGTCAAATAAAAATGTTTGCCGAATCTATTGGGTACTTCACTTTGTATTTGAACGTGGCAGTGATGAAGGCTCCTCTACTCAGTGACCTTTGCATTATTGTAAATGACATTTAAAAAAGTTGATACTTTGTCTCTTTCTATATTTGTGTCAAAGAGAAAAAAAAACTGTACAAAATTTTAATTTTTAATCATCGTCCGCGTGGAAAATGAGCATTCCCATTCCACATTCGTATTTTCTATTTTCAGGAAGAGCAACGTTGTCAGTTATCCAAAGGATCGAAGAACAAAGATTCTGGTCAAGAGACTGAGAAGACACTGGAATCACTGGATTTTCAGTGGATACTTCAAAGATAAGAACTTTAAAATAATTTAGTAAAAATGGCAAAAGTGGTGGCCTTTAATGTCTAATTACTGTGCGTAGTCCTCCTTCTTTCACCAATTGTTTTGGAATGAATTAAACTGATTACATGGCGACTGGAAAGTTTTCGATTAGCCACCATTTTTGAAATAGTTTGTTATTTATTGATTGTTATGCAAACCCTGGGCGATCATATAATTTCGAACTAATTTGTCTCGGATGATCTCTTTACATTGAATTAAAGACAGAGATGAATGGAAACTGATTTAACCTTGGCAACAGAACGCTGAAACTTAAGAGCACCAATTTTGAAGCTTTGATCGCTCATTTTTTTGGTTTTAACAGTTGTATCCTGTGCTTATTGTTCATCGTGATGTAAGATGGGAGATAAACTTTATTCATTTGTCTCACGATGGAGTCACTTTGGATGTTGATTGCGACGTTTCGACTGCAATACTGCTAGTCTTCATTAGGCGATGAAGAATAGCAGTATTGCAGTCGAAACGTCGCGATCAACATCCAGAGTTGTATCCTGGTTGATGTTACAGGAAGGTGATATTTATTAAGATGGCACTCAGAACAAAATACTTCGGCCGGACGAAGAACCGAATACAATTCAAAATTGGAAACTACTATCGGCACCTTAAAAACGACTTGGAAAAAACCAAAGCGGTCACCAACGGACAAAAAAAAAACAACCAAACCTTACAACTGATCAAAACTGACTAATGAAGGGACGAGCGCCATTTAAGTACAAAAATCAATTTGCTGCAAAACCGATCACTTAGTTTTGCAAACCGGGGCCCAGATGTTCGTTGGCTGATTAGCATTAACCCAAGGTAAAATTTTAACCCTATTTTCTCCTTTCCTTTGTTCAAAACCTTCTTTGGATAGTTTTCTTTTCTCTTTTAGGATTATCCAATCATTAAATTGTCGACAAAAGGAATTATACTGAATTTCTTTTTAAGCCTTTCAGACCTGAAATCAGATTTCACACTAATCGTGGGTTATCTAAACCCAGCTTTGAACAACCCCACCCAGCTATAACATTCGAATTGTCAACAATTTTCCGATGACTCCGATGTCTTCTGCGTAAGGCAAGTCACTAGTTTCGACAACAACAAACCTTTTCAGGGCTGTTCTTACTCGGACGATCGTACTTCACGATTGACAACGGAATGATACCAAGATGAAAAGTTGACATATTAATACAATTGGAAATTCATTTTCGGTATGAACTGTATTAAACAGGAAATTTGGTTTGCACATACACAAAACAAGAATTTAGTACATTGCCATCTTAGATTATACCCTTTACTGTGTGCCATCAACGGTGTTTGGTTTCCGTTTAGAAGTAACATGTGTTCTAAAAATCTAAACTGATTTCGGTTCGAAATTTACCGTGACCTAAACCAGTTTAAATTGATTCCTTTTTACGAAGGATTAATGTAGACGTTCATATTTCGATAGAAATCAAATTGGATAATTGTTTCGAAAATCGTTGAAAAACAATTTACATAAAGGACGAATATCAACGAGGATGCACAAGCCTTTTGACTAGTGAGCAATAAACAAGTCTGTTAGTGAAGATCCGCTTTAATAATTGCCTCTTTCTTGTCGAATGCTTTCATTTATCGATTAA